TTTGCATTCTTGGCTTCAGGGGTTTTCAGCTTGTTTGTTCCAATCGGGGGGAAGATCCCCCAAGCGAGTCACAGAACCACCTTTATTTAGGACCCAGCTCCCATTTTGTGACACGTCTGCAAGAAAGGCGCCCCCTACCTGTCCACACAGTCCCCCAGGCTCTTTGCTGGCCTGGTGCACGCCCATGGCCCATCATCTCACTTTTTAGTTCTGGCAACAGGCAGAGGCTCTCTTCCTCACCTTTGCCTCTTGAGGAAGCGACTGTGCGACCGTCCCCCCACTTCTTAACTCTGAATATTGGAGCTGGAGTCAACCGAAATCCAGGAAGATCAACCAGGACCAAACTCTCCAAGTCAATCCCCATAGCAACAAGGATTGGGCAAGTGAAGTAAAATCGGTACCGGGGAAAACTCTGACTCCGATCATGCTTCATGGGGTGCAGCTTTGGGGTTTTTTAAGGAATAAGAATTGCTGGATTCCTTGGAAAATGGATAAATCGGCCAATTTGATCATATGGCACACCTGGAGCAAGAACTGCTGATGCAGTCAGGTCCCACTGGGAACAATGGGACCACATTAGGATAAAAAGCCTGTGTTTTGCACTGCCAAGTTGGCCTTCTGGAACCTTCTGTTTCCCGTATTTTGTTCACTCACTGAGCCGGTAGGCCCTGGGTAGCCCTCTCTCCAAAGGTCCAGAGTTTTTAGGCTGCTTTGGGTCCGAGCCTCCCCTTAGGACTGTCAGCAGTACCTGGGGGAGGGCACTCCCCAGGGCGGTGTTTGGATGTCTATTAGGGGTTGCTGGAGGGTCAATGAAATTTACATTAAAAAGGAGACTCCAAGTGGCAGAGCTGCCTTAATTCTAATAAAGGGGTATTTGGAAGCAGAGGAGTTTCCATCAAATGACCCAGAAACAAATGCCAAGCACAAAGCCTCCAGTTGTCATTCAGCATTCTTAACCATCAAAAGAAACAGATTGTTTCGGATCGTTTTACCTCCAGCAGCCCCAAGCACGCTGTTAACGAGAACAGACCAGAAGGAATGTGTTCTGATGGGAAGGACCCGAGTCTATACATTTTCTCCCCAGTTTACACAGCGAGCGGAGTCCTACGGCCTCATGACAGCGGCCAGCAGGGAATTCCAGCTCCCTCAAGCTTGAGATACCTGATTTCCTTTCGTTTTATCAGTAGATTAAACTGCGATGCCAACACACAGGCACAGAGTAATGTCCCTCGTAGGCCAGCTGCGTCTACTTTTACAGCCACTCATTGTGCAACCCTGGACGCATCAGATTTCCCCCTGGTCTTGGTTGAAGGATCCGGCTGTGCGGATGGATCTGTACAAATGCAACCCCAGGCCCGGGCAAACAAAGCCATCCCTACCCACAACGGCTGGCAGCTGCCACTCTCTGTGCCAAGACTCACACTGGAGGGATGTGCTGGAGCTGCACACCCAGGGCGCGTCTGCGGCTGAGGTCACTTCCTCCTGGGGAAGCCGGATCCCAGACATTTGCATCCTGCGTACCATCCCCCACCCTCCCGCTCTCCCAGGAGAAAGTCCAGCCTCTGCAAAAGGACTTCCATAAATTGAGCTGTGACCCTGTCCGCAATAACTGACACTTGGAGAAAGAATGTGCAGTTTCAGAGGTTTAATATATTAATCAACACACTGAAAATATTTTGATTCCTCAGCAGCTTGGAGTACCATCCTTTCTCAAATACATTCAAAATACATACCTAGGGAACTAAGTAAGACATTCACAGTAAAACCTTCCCCTGAAGAGCAACCCTTACATTCCGTTGGTCCTTTAGGAAGATGTGGGATTGGCCCTTCGAGGAAGGAAGACCTAGCACTTTCCTCACTGGGGGGCCCACACCCTTTCCCTTTCACACCGCTCCTTTGGAAACAGCCTTTCAATCAAACCCCAGGCAGGAAAACACAAATACAGTTCTTCTCAGGCGTGTTCCAGGTACCGTTCCTTCTGAACTGACTTGCCCCCGTCAAACCCCTCATTGCCTTCTTGGGAGGTCAGAAGATACCCTTTTAATGTATTTGTAGCCCTTTATCCCACAAATACAAACTGAAAGAGATACCGCCACTGTTTCCAAACCAAGCAGTCTTCTTGCAGGAAAGTGTTCATTGATATTCCGGAGCGGTGATCTCGCTTCTGTCTAAATACACCCCAGGAGATCATTTGGGCCAAACCCAGCTTGGGCAGCACAGGCAGGTTGGGCTCGGTGCTCCTCTCCACGTTGGCTGCAGAGAGACACAGAGTCTGTGGACTAAGCCGTCCTTCCCCTCCCGAAGCACAGTGTGACCCAGATCGAGATGAGAGCTCCAACCACCAGGGATCCCAAGGTCAGCGCCTCACAGGTGTGCTTCGTGTCACAGTCTTTTCTTATTGTCTTTGAGCCATTCAGTTATCCCAACTCAGGAGACAATCTTCCTTTGATAAAAGCCAATGTTAAAATAAAAGTGACTTGCAGGTGACATGATACTGTATATAGAGAACCCTAAAGATTCCACCAAAATAACTACTAGAGATGATAAATAAATTTAGTAAAGTAGCAGGATACAAAATAAATATCCAGAAATCAGTCGCATTTTGATACATCAATAATGAACAATCAGAAAGGGAAACTAAGAAAACAATCACATTTACAATTGCATCAAAAAGTAATAATAAATTACCTAGAAATAAATTTAACCAAGGATGTAAAAAACCTGTACTCAGAAAACTATAAGACACTGAAGAAGGAAACTGAGGAAAATTCAAATAAGTGAAAGCATATACCGTGTCCATGGATAGGAAGAATTCACTTCATTAAAATGTCTATACTACCCAAAGCAATCTATAGATTCAACACAATTCTTATCAAGGTATCAATGGCATATTTCACAGAACTAGAACCAATATTCCAAAAATTTATATGGATAGCCATAGCAATCTTGAAAAAGAAGAACAAAATTGTAAGAATCGCGCTACCCAATATCAAACTGTACTATACATGGCCATAGTAATAAAAACAGCATGGTATTGGCATAAAAACAGACACATTGATCAATGGAACAGAATAGAAAGCCCAGAATAAATCCACTCCTTTATGATCAATTAATATTTGAAAAAGGTGGCAAGAAAAATGGGGTGAAGGTAGTGTATTCAATAAATAGTGTTGGAAAAATTGGACAGATATGTGCAAGAAAATGAAACTAGACCACCTTTTTACACCATACACAAGCATAAACTGAAAATAGATTAAAGACTCAAATGTTAGACTCAAAACCATAAAAATCCTAGAAGAAAACATAGGCAATAAAATCTCAGACATTACTTGCAGCAATGTTTTTTCTGATATATCTCTTTAGGAAAGGGAAACAAAAGAAAAAATAGCCCAGCCAGTGTGGTTCAGTGGATTGGGCATCATCCCATGCACCAGGAAGTTGCTGGTTTGATTCCCAGTCCAGGCACATGCCGGGGTTGCAGGCTCAGTCCCCAATAGGGGGCGTGCAGGAGGCAGCGGATCAATGTTTCTCTCTCATTGATGTTTTTATCTCTCTCTCCCTCTCCCTTCCCCACTATGTAAAAAGCAATAAAAACATATTTTAAAGAAAAAAAAATAAACAAATGGGACTACATCAAACTAAAACGTTTTTGCACATCAAAGGAAACCATCAACAAAATAAAAAGACAACCAACTGAATGGGAGAACATATTCACCAATGACATATCTGGTAAGGAGTTAATATCCAAAATTTATAAAAAAAACTTATGAAACTCAACAATTCTCCAAAGAGGACATACAGATGGCCAATAGCCATATGAAAAGATGCTCAACATCACTAATTATCAGAGAAATGCAAATTAAAACCACAATAAGATATCACCTCACACCTGTCAGAATGGCTATCATCAACAAATCAACAAACAACAAGTGTTGGTGAGGGTGTGGAGAAAAGGGGACTCTAGTGCACTGCTGGTGGGAATGCAGACTGGTGCAGCCACTGTGGAAAGCAATATGGAGTCACCTTGAAAAATTAAAAATAATACTGCCTTATGACCCAGAAATTCCACTTCTGGGAATATCCAAAGAAACCCAAAACACTAATTTAAAAGAATATATGTACCCCTATGTTTATTGCAGCATTATTTATAATTCCAAGATCTGGAAGCAGCCCAGTGCCCATCAGTAGATGAGTGGACAAAATTGCTGTGATACGTTCACACAATGGAATACTCCTCAGCCATAAAAACGAAGGAAGTCTTAACTTTTGTGACCCATGGATGGACCTGGAGAATATTATGCTAAGGAAAATAAGCCAGTCAGAGAAAGACAAGTACCATATGATTTCCCTTAGATGTGGAATTTAATGAGCAAAAGAAACTAACAAACCAGATATAAACAGACTCAGATACAGAGAACGAACTGACAGCTGTCAGAGAGGAGCGGGTTTGGGGTCTGAGTGGAAAGGTGAAGAGATTAAGCAACAAACAAACAAACTCGTAGACACAGACAGCAATATGGTCATTACCAGAAGGAAATGGGGGTGGGGCAGGTAGAAGAGGGTAAAGTGGAGATAAATGGTGATGGGAGGAGACTTGACTTGGGGTGGTGAACACACAATACAATATACAGGTGATGCATTGTAGAAGTGTACATCCAAAACCTATATAATTTTATTTACCAATGTCACCCCCAAAATTCAATAAACATTAAAATTAATTTAAAAAACCAATAAATACAAGTGACTTATTTTTTTATCCTCACCAGAGGACTTTTTGCATTTATCTTCAGATAGAGCAGAAGGGAGAGAGGGAGAAAAAGAGAGAGAGAAACATCGATGTGAGAGAGACACATCAAGTGGCTGCCACCCACACTACCCCAACTGGGGTCGGGGACAAACTACAACCGAGGTACATGCCCTTAGCAGGAACCGAACCTGGGTCTCTCTGGTCTGCAGGCTGATGCTCTAACTGCTGAGCCAAACTGGCCAGGGCAACTTATTTCTTATCAGTAGAATCAAAATGAGAATATGTTTTCCCCCTGATCCTATGTAAAGCTTATTTCTTGAAGGAGACTTTTAAAAGATCTCATTTGATCTTATGAGACTTTTGATGATGCTGTCTTTTCCTATCAACATTGCATGATTTTAAATAACCATGTTCAAGATTCCAAAGGAGTCCTCATAACTTCTATATCCCAGCTTCCTACAAATCCAATGCATGTTCTAAAACACTAGCTTTGCAGAGCCATGTGCCTTGTAGAATCACAGTTATGGGGTTCAGGGGCATTGTGCTGGTGGACTAGGAAGGCTTTTGTCTATTTTCATAGCTCCGTATTGTTGATTGCTTCATAATGCTTCTAGTCGCTACATATGTTCATAATTCTGCTTTATTTGTGTTGAAAAGCCACTGCTACATTTTAGTGTCGTCTGTCTCATTGACTTCTGACAAAATGAAGTTGGGGTTGTCATAGCCTCTCTTCATCTTGGCTCTCGCATCTCTCTCATTATAAAGGCACATGGCACAGTGAGGGGTATCCACCGCCACTGTCTTGCTAAAGTTGTGGAAATCCACTCGGTATTTCCCTTCCTTGGTCTTGGATACTATGGGAGCAAAACGGTAGCCCCAAAGCACCTCTTCTGGGACATAGGATGTCCGGACTTGGCAGGTAGCACTGGTTGATTCCACTGTGCCGTCTAAAAACACCACTAATTCAAAGTCCTGCTGGGGAAGGGTTTCTGCTGCCATGTCAAAGAAAGGGCTGTTGTGGTCAATGATATGGTAAATTGTCAGCGGGGAGATGAAGAATAAATTTTCATTTCCAGCATCAACTACAAAGTTGACATTGGTCTGGTCCAAAATAATGGTCTCTCCTTCAGGAGTGACTGTGGTCTTTAGAAGCTTTCCATATATGTGACTGCCGATGAGGAGGCTCTTCCTAAGATTAGCCACTCGGATTAGGAGACAAAGCTTCCCACCCCGCTTACTGATCACCGCATTCTTGCTGAACGTAATGGTCTTCGCACGTTTTTTGGGTCTGGAGATCTTGGCCAAGATGGCGCCACACATGAAAGAATTGATGATGACTCCGAGTATGGACTGGAAGATAAGCAGAAAGATGGCCGTGCCACATTGTTCTGTCACACACCTGAATCCATAGCCAATCGTCACTTGCGTTTCCAGAGAAAACAGGAAAGCTGAGGTCAAACCATTAATATTATCCACACAAGGGGTGTGGTTGACAGACGGATGGAACTCAGGGAGATCTTTGTGAATATAGGCGACGGCGTACCACAGGAGACCGAAGAGGAACCAGCTCCCCAAGAAGGCTGTGATGAAGATGGTCATCTTGTATCTCCATTTGAGGTCAAGTACAGTTGTCCAGATGTCCACAAAGAAGATAAACCTCGTTTGTGCCTCCACATTGCCAAACTCGATGTTGCACCTCCCATCTTTGGAAACCAGCCTTGCTCTTCGCCGATGATGCCCAAAAAAGTGAGTGACAAACCATTTCCGAAGGTGTTTGAACATTCTTTCTGTCAACACCTTGATCTGAAAACACATCAGAGAAAAACAAAAAACAAACTTGGATTTACAGCAGCAGTGATGTAGGTGACGCATATAAAGAGTCACTTATGTATGAAAAGACATTCCAACTGACCATTTAGGCAAGCTGACACATTTACTCTGGATACCACAATACTATTTTCAATAGCAACTTCCCACCAGAAGGCCATATTGTTTCAATATAAGAGAAAAAAGAATTCCAATGAGATAGAAATGAAAGGAACCTAAGAGGATTCCTGACCTTGACCGCATACCACCTTAAAAATATTTGTGATAACCATTATGACCTGGACTATGATTTTTTGATATTATTCTTTAAAGAAGTACTCCTTTAAAAAATTAATTTAGCAGTATGTTAAGTAAAAATATTGTGAAAACAGAAGCTTGGTGCACTATTTACATTTTTTGTAACTATAAAAATAAATAACTATAAAAAAAAAACAAACAGCTCATCGCCCTGGCTGGTTTGGCTCAGCGGTTAGAGCATCGGTCTGTGGACCGATGAGTCACGGGTTTGATTCCAGTCAAGGGCACGTACCTCAGTTGTGGTTTGTCCCCAGCCCTGTTTGGGGTCGTGCAGGAGGCAATCACTCGATGTGTGTTTCTCACATCGATGTTTCTCTCTCTCCCTCCCTCTCACCCTCTCTATCTGAAGATAAATAGAAAAAATATCCTCGGGTGAGGATTAAAAAAACAGCTCATCAAATGTACTACCTAAACCACCTTGTGTACTGCTATCAGTACTTACATATGAAGAAAAATCATGATTCAGTTCAGTTCTCTCATTTATTAAATGAAGAAACAGATACTCAGAACATTTCAATGGCACATCCAAAGTCAGGTACCCAATGCATGGCAGGACGACAAGGAGACCGTGAGGTTCCCTGCTGTCCGTCCAGAGGACTCTCTACCCGACTGCATCTCAGTTATGAACTTTTCTTTTCTAAAGCTAAATTTCCATGAAGCATTTTAAGACAGGTACTAATCAACTTCCTCTTTGCTTTAATGCTCGACACTGCCTAGGACAAAGTTCCTCAATACAGTTAGTCAGGTCCCACCATGTAATCTCAGAAGTTTTTCCAGCGCATCTACGAGCTAGTCTCTACTCTCTCTTCATGTTATGCCACGATTCCCCCAAAAGCAGAACGGTGGTCACTGTCGATGTGTCACACTCCTTCCCTGCTCCCAAGCGGAAGGACTGGGGGCTCTGTGAGGGTAGGACCGTGCTCATTCGCTCCTCGTTCCCAGCTCCAACACAGTCTATGTAACAGTATTTATTTAAAAAGCATAAATGAAATAGTCCAGTGAATGAATGAAGCTCTTCAAATGCTACCTGATCGATGGTCTCTTATTGATGACGTTATTTTGACTTCCATTCTACAGCAAAAAAGGGAAGGATTTTCCCTTAAACAGCTCACGAGGAAACCGAGGGGTCATGAACAGGACTACCCCTTCCTTAGGTGTGCACACCCCCACTCTGAGGTGCTCCCCATGGTTGGCAATGGCCTCGTGGTATTTTGAATTAAATGCAAATACATTTCAAAAATAGATTTCAAAATCCCCCTTCAAAAATGTGTTTATTCATACAAACTGGGAAGCGAAACCCACTTAGTGATAAATTTTAAACAAAATTGATAATCAGCAGCGTCTTGCTCATGGTCTTAAACCAGGTGAAAACACAAGAAGGCAACACCTAGTAGACGTGGTGAAGAGAAAAACACAGCTGGGGATTTGAGGTCTTGAGCACAAGGCTCTAAATATGTTAAAGCAAAAATGCTACTAGGAGAGCAAACAGCAGCGCCTGCCCTCATCCCACCCAGCCCTTATTGCCCTCAAGTCCCTGAGTGTCAGGTGGCGGTCCCAAGTTGGACTCATGGAGGAAGACATAGGCTCCTCTTCCCACTGTCTCCCCTTTCTCTGCACACACACCCTCTCACCTTGCTTACATTCACCGGGACTCTCTACCTTTCTCAGGTTCATGGAAGCTCATACTGTTTAACAAGCTATTCACAGAGCGGCCCTCACGTGAAATAATACATTCTAAAGCCAACCCTTACCCGCCGAATCCACATGCTCTTTGCCCAGAGATGGGTCCTCACATTCCAACTTCTGAGGTGTTGTTTTTTTCCTACCACGCTCCTCCACCAGTCTTTCTTAAATTCATTTTACTTTTGAAGATAAAGACTATTGCTGAATAAGTACCCCATGACTATCTTACTAATAAAATAAAATCTTCCTGGCCTTACAAAGAGCTGAGACAAAAGCAACCAGCGTACAATGCTTTCCCCGGAAAGATTGCACTTACCAGTCGGCTGAACATACTTGGACCTGAAGCATCCATGGCAGGGAAAGCAAGGAAGTGGTGTTGGGAGTTGGCCTCTGTATGCAAGCTGATTTCTCTCGGCTTAATATATTTTAGACTTTGGTCAGTGGACTGATGCTAATTTGTATTAGCTTGAAAACACTTCATTGGATAGTGGGGTTGTGTGGTTTAAACCAAGGCAATTGTTTGTTCTCAGACCGAGCCCCAGCCAGGGTATGTATTTTATCTTTTCCAACCTCGCATGGCTTGAATACCGTCATGCTAAGACATGACAAACCACCGGCCGAGCAGCCTGTTGTGTTCCAGAACGTCTCTCCTCTCCCCGCCACGCTCTGCGGCTCTCCTGATGTTTCTCCGGGGTCCCGCCTGATGACTTTCACCAGAAACAATTAGTTCTCATCAGTCTCCGGGCCCAGGCCCTGACACACACCGAGATACGAGATCTCCAAGTGTGCACGAAGACTGGTGGAAACGCAGACGTGGTTAAGTACATATTTGTAAGATGAAAGGAAGGCCACACCAGGAAGAAACAAGATACCGTGTTAATCTCTGTGATGTAAGCAACAGACATTTAAAAGCAACCTTCATTGTTGTTGGATTTCTTTGATGAAATCTGGTATTTACGGAAGGTACTTTTCACATGCACTGTTGCTTGGTTTATCCCAAGAGTGCGAAGAATCTATCTAGAGAAAGCAAGACTGCAGATAAATTCACTCTCTGACCAGACCTGTCATTGACACTGCAGATGCGTTCCACCCAGCACATGGCCCGCCTCGCTGGGACAGAGGCGTTTAACCCAACCACAGACAACAGAGCCAATATGCATTCTTTAAACTGGGTGATTCGAGATTGGCCTTGGTGTCCAGGTTATGTAACACACATAGTTTTTAGGTTACTTTCTGTTGAAATCAGTAAATCTTAATGGCAAGCAAAGGGCTATATATTAGCTAATATTTACCAAGGTATTCTGAGTGGCCCGGCAAAGCAAGTGAATGATTCAAGAATTCAGCGTTATCGTTCTGTAAACAGTCCATTCTCAGAAAATGAATGTTTTGTAAGCTTCCCAGACACCGAGTGTATGCTTATTAGGTAGGATTTCAGAGACAAATAGGACTTCGTTCCTGTTCTCAGGGGGCTCACAGTCGAATAGGGAAGTGAGCCCCGAAAGTCGGCAATTGCAACCAGCCTGGTTTGGATAATCACCCCAGGAGCATCTTTTCTAAAAGATCTCTGTTAGATGGGCATCCATGTCCTGTGTAGCACCTCCACTGGCGAAAATCCCATCGCCTTTGTGTGTCCATTAAGGTACTTGTCTATTATTATCCAGCACATATGTTGGTACGCGACATGCCGGGGAAGCAGGTGTTTACCAATGGACACAGTCCTCGTCACCGAGACGAAGCTTCCACTCTCGTGTGGGGGTGGGAGATGGAAATGAGCTGAAAACCCTTCTGTGTTAGGCCAGCCAGGATAGGAAACAGTGGGGGTGCTCTGGGGAGCACCGCAGCCAGGGGCAGAGACGTGCCTTCCAGGCCAGGGCCTGAGATATCACAGACACACTTAATAGGAAGTCCATAAATATGTGTTGACTGAACATAAATAAGTTCATCGATGTCTGCTTAAATGCATGAGTTTGCTGTCCCTCCTCGGCTCCCCACGGAGCTGTTTTAGAGGCGACCCGGGCAGCGGCAAGGAAGACAGCGTGGAGGAGCAGACACGAGTGTGGGGGACAGACAACAGTGTGGGGCCTTGGCAAGCAAGGGCCAGGCACTCAGCACCTGGTCCGTCTCGGGGGGTCATTCTGTTGCAGACCTGGAGGAGAAACTGGTAGAGAACGTTGGTCTACCTCGGCTTCAGAGACATCTCGTGGATGTTCTAAATAGGTTGATGTTCTGAAGTCTCTTCCATTTAACAGCCCTTCAGATGGTTGAAAACAAACACATTTTCCTCCTGAATGTCCTTTTCTCCATAAAAACACACTCTTGCCCTGGCCAGTTTGGCTCAGCAATTAGAGTGTCGGCCCGTGGACCAGAGATTCCTGGGTTCAGTTCCCACTGAGGGCATGTACCTCGGTTGCAGTTTGACCTCTGCCCCAGTTGGGGTCGTGCGGATGCGATGCGTCTCTCTCACATCAATGTTTCTCTGTCTCTTCCTCCCTCTCTTTTTCCCACTCTATCTGAAGATCAGTGCAAAAAAAAATGTCCTCGGGTGAGGATAAAAAGAAAAACCAGTCCAGACGCGGTGCTTTTGCAGGCTTCCTTGTGAGAATGTGCCATTGTGAGTTTGGGGTTTCCTACAGTACTTACCACACTGCTTCCTGCTGAGCCCAGCATGCTCAGCAGCCACTATAGACGGAGAGGAAGGCAGACACATTGCTTCTGTTATCTCTTCTTTAGTGTTATAAAGGCTGTCATTTCCCCATAAACATGGAAACACACTTGTTGTGACCTGCCTTTTAGTCAAACTTCTCAAAGCTCATACACAGCCTCAGTGCCTTTCGGGACAGTTCTGAGAGCCAAGACTGTAGGTTAGAGGTATAACTATGAGTATGGGGCCCGATAGCAGAAGTAAAATGACTTCTGTCGTCCCTTTGCCTTGGTAGTGGAGAAGAAATTCAAGTTTCCATGAAAACCGACTGCTCTGTTTCAGAACAGCCAATTGA